CCTCTAACGAACAATTTACGCCAGGAAATCGAAAGACGACCGTTCCCTTTTCTCTTTTTGCAACAGAACATCCTTTTCGCCATCAGTGGGCGAAGCAGACTCCATTATTGTCCCATGTAATGTCTACATGGATGTCGTACTGGTTGAAAACGGAACGTATCTGTGTGTTTGAAATATTTCAGTGAACCTGAATAGTTACAAGCCTTAAGAAAATAAAAATAAAAGAAGAACACACTGTAGCGGGGCTACTCAACTTGCACCCCTTCCAGTGTACTCCATTACAGGATCATTCTCCAGCCACATCCTTAATTATTTAACTGATAATCAGCAGAATCAATATAGCAATTAGGGAGCTGGTCATAGCAAATAACTCCAATGGAACAGATAGGACAGGATGATGAGCCCTACTTTATAGCGGTTGATATTTAAATTGGCATATTTCTAATTTTCTTCATTTGTCTCTTTAATTTTATTCACACTTTTGTTCAAAAGTTCATTGTTATTTCTTTTTGTCCCTGAAAAAGAAATTTGGTCATACTTTACAAGAGAACAAATTCTTTAAAAAGCCATCTTTAAAATGCAGTCAAAAATATGCACAAGGGAGGATACCACTGTGCCACTGTGCCTCCCTAATTCCCGAGTCTTTCAGTACTTAACTAAAATCACAAAATCCTACTTAGCACCTGTTAAAAAAAAACAGTTCATTTGGCTGAGGGCAGACACAGATGGTAGATTGAACATTGTTTCAGTGTTGCATTTTTGTTCTTATTATTAAAAATTGTAAAAACATTTTGATTCGAAAGCTGGGCTGTGCTTTTATTAAGGTTCAGCTGGCCCCACTTAATAATTACATTTCATTTTCATCTGGTGGCAATTAAAGAAATTCTTATGCCTTTTTGGACATTTTTCAAGAACTAATTGGACAGATTAATTAGCGAATTAATTTAAGGAAAGCTGGCTATAATCGTATTGTAGAATGTGACTGCTTTGTGAAGTTTGTGAGGTGGAGCATATTCTGAATGGTAGTGCTGTACAGTATGCTGTCAGTTGTAGTTGGAAAGGTTTCGTTTTTAATACACAAAGAACTAAGTACGTCACTGAGAACGATACAGAATTATGCAGAGCTACAGTAGATGCTGTCCCTAAGCACTTTCTTTCAAAGAAAGACCAATAAGAAAATTGCTTGACACACCACAAGGTCTATGAATAAACTGGGTAAAAAAAAAAAAGAAGAAAGTTCATTTTGAGGATGAAATTGTTCAGAATTGGCAGGAGAACAAACACACATATGAGAATGTGGTTAAAATGCCAAGTCCTTGCAGCTGGCTTTTTAATGGCTGTATCTAGAGACTGTTAGATGCCATTTGATTTCTTATTGTGAAATGGAGCGACATGAACACATTTACTGCATGACTAAAGAGAATTAATAAACCTTTAACATGAAGATGTGAACAGTGTCAGAGAAGGGTTGTGTGCTGGGCTGTTTGCAGGCTCTGTTAGAGGCTGTTGATAGACTGAGTCCTTGAAGACCGCAGACAGACGCAGGAAAGCCAGGGCAGGATTACTCAGCTCAAACAGTGGGCAAGTTAATGTTCTTCTGCTCTCTCGAAGGAGTTCTGTGTCTTCTGCTGTTAAGTGTTGAATAGTGCGTGCAAACAGCAGAACCCTCAAGAGGCTTGGGATGAGAGCTTGTATGGAATAAATATAAAAATAAAAGGCTCTAGAGTCCTCCTCTACCCTACAGAAAAGCAACTGTCTGGAAGAAGTGAATGATAAACCAGGGCCTTTCTGTATGATAAATTGTTTGTTGCCTGACTTCCTGTTGTTAGCATTAAAGCATTAATTGCATACCTGTTATTTGAGTCTATAATTTGGATAAACTTTATTACTTCTCACTCAGGAGGACAATTATGCAAGTTGTAATTGCTTCTAATTGCTGTGGAGCTTGCTCTGTTAATTTGAACAACGTGAAAGAAGAACAACAAAGGATCTCGTTACTTTGGTGGATTGTAACCTGTGATTAATCCACGTGAGTTCTTTATTAGTATATTACTGTACAGGTGCTCAACAACAGCTGCACATTTGTAACGCAGCACAAGGGAGAGAGCGTTGTACGAGCCTTTGTCTGGAGCCTGTGATGATTTATGAGGTGAAGAGGCAAATGCATTTCGTGACAGTAACCGTGAGGGATAGGAACTGCATTGTCTGGACTGAAATTAGGAACTGGGGCCCCTGCAATTTATCCTGTTTGGGAGCTAATTGAGGTTGGTTTCTCTTTTCTTTCTAAATCGTAGCTCAGACATTTTTCTTGCTTGCCAAGCAGAGACAAAAACTACCAAAGAGCTGAGGGTCGTACAGTAGTTTCCACACCTTAGAGGGTAGGTGGCGCTTGCAGTGCTGAGATAAGCTAAAGAAACAACGCAGTGCTGTAGGTCAAAATGTCTTTGCAAGATCTCTCACCTGGAAATTTAAATGATCACTCTGTTCCCTCTACTGCACCTCTCTCTCTATCCACACAGGAAATGTTTTTTTAAGCATGACATATTAAGTGTTTATTAGGCAGGTTTCTGTAAGTAATCAGCACTAAGTAAATCATGAATAACCACCATATAATGGTTTGTTAGGTACTTATTAGGCACTTAATATGTTGATTTTCCAAAATAATAATAATAATAATAATTGCTAACACTTATATAGCACATTTCTGGAAACTCCACTCAAAGCGCTTGACAGGTAATGGGGATCCCCTCCACCACCACCAGTGTGCAGCCCCACCTGGATGATGCACCAGTCTGCTCCCCACACACCAGCTCTCAGTGGGGAGGAGAACAGAGTGATGAAGCCAGTTCATAAATGGGGATTATTAGGAGGCCATGATTGGTAAGGGCCAATGGGAAATTTGGGTAACACCCCTACTCTTTTCGAGAAACGCCCTGGGATTTTTAAAGACCACAGAGAGTTGGTTTTACGTCTCATCCGAAGGACAGTGCCCTTTTACAGTATAGTGTCCCCATCACTGTACTGGGGCATTAGGACCCACACAGACTGCAGGGTGAGCAATTCCTGCTGGCCCCACTAACACCTCTTCAAGCAGCAACCTTAGTTTTTCCCCAGGAGGTCTCCCATCCAGGTACTGACCAGGCTCACACCTGCTCAACTCCAGTTGGCTGCCAGTTGTGAGTTGCAGGTTGATATGACTGCTGGCATGCCTTACTAACATGATGCTAGCTCCTAATAAAAGGATTTGCATTGCAAATACTGAAGTAAAGATTGGTCTTGGCCCTACTAACTTCCACCTGTACACCGAATGTTGAGTTTTCGAACACCTGTAGTCCCCCGTCCTCGATCAGAGTTCTCCCTCCCACTCTCACGCGCACTCTACCCCTGTGGAGCTGGAGCAGTTAATGCGTGGGTGCTGCGGCAGGGTTTTACAGGCTGTTTTCTGAATGTCTGCGGAGCAGCCTGCAATCACAGCGCAGGAAGGTACTCTACATCCGCGCGGCTGTCAGTGACAGATCTGGGCTGCCTAAGCAGAACTTAAGTACTGTAAATATAGGGCAGAACCGCAGCACAAGTGTTCAACTTTTTTTTTTTTTACTGGCTGTTGATGGATTTTGTTTGCAGTTCTCTCCTAAAAAGGGAAATTGCAATGTTTTGTGCCTTTTCCCTCCAGTTCATTAGCCAGTGATTGACAACAGCCCCGATCCCCTCAGTTTTATTACTTTATTTACAGTACCTGGAGAGAAAAATCTCATTGACTTTGAGGACCGGGAGACCATTGAAATTGCCCCCCTGGGGATGAATAAAGTGTTTTGAATTGAATTTATACAGAAGAGTAGTTGCTGGACTTGCTGATACTCACCGCAATGGCAGAGGCTTATACAACATTAAAAAACATATTCTTTCCGGTACTTTACTGTTGTATTTAATTTAAACTTAAGATATAAATGTTTAGAAATCCAATTATTGAGTATGACTTTCCAGAGTACCAATGAGTTTTGCACCTTAACCCGCCTAACCAAGGCAACCAGCAACAAGAATATCCGACAGCTCCCAGTTTCCCAGAAATCTTGAACTCCTACTAGTTCTTGTATGTATCTTTGTGCTCTGATTTCTGCTTCCTAACATGTTAGATCGAACCACCTGTAGCCAAGTGTGATGTAAATCCAGAAACACCACCTTTCTGTTTTTCCGAAAGAAGCAGCTGTTACTGATCGCCAAGAGCGAGTGATTAAGGGTGATTCAGTCGAGCAGAACATGATGCAACTTTGAAGCAAATATTCCAGTAATTAGATAATAGCAAGAGAGATAGAATAATTTGAGGAGCAATATTACCTCTGAGATTATGAATGTGATTGCAGTGGAGCAGAGACATTCTCAACAGTAATTTACAGCCAATCAGAGAATTATAATCAATCCAGTGTCAGCTCAAACCATGAGGCAATTTGTTTTTTGCCCAGTTCCTCTTAAATGATGCATGACAGACCCTTTATTACCTCATATTAAATTAGGAGAGTAATAAATGTTCAGTTAATACCTTCCAAGATCCCAATTATGCTGGGGTTTGATTTTGTCTTTGTTGCAGTGTGGATATTTAAAAAGTAAACACTGTAGGGGCAAACAAAGGCTGTTTAAGCCACATTACGTCTCTGCAGTATTAATTATTAAAATTCAGCTATGCTTCGTTTTTTTTATTAATGATTCATAAAGGTGACCCTTGAAACATAGTGGTGGGTTTTTGCAGCTTCACATTTATAGAACAGAGCTTCACTGTCGCTGGACAGAGTTTATGAAATTAGCTTCTCCTGGCTTCTCAGTGCATTTCTCTTCAAATTCCACCCCAAATGCCAAAAACAAAACAAACAACGCATTGTCAGCATGCTTCTTTCATCTTTCCTAAATACAAAGGACTATTTCTCGGGCACCCAAGATGTGCAGTTTTCAAGCTGTAGCTGTATTGGTGTGGGCAATTGTTCATAGTGATTTTCCCTTTCTTTCAGGAGAATTTCCAACTCCTGGCTCAGTACAGGCTGGTTCACCATGACGATAGCCCTGGAGCTGTGCGACCGGATCAATGTCTATGGCATGGTGGCGCCTGAGTTCTGCAAGTAGGTGCTCCTCTTGTGTTATTTCAGAAAGGATACTCCACTGTGGGCTGCATACTTGACGCCAGTTACTTTGCATGGTGATTTCAGGTTTCCCATGATGCTACCATGGAGGTCACACCTAGAATGATCTTTTTGGTACTGCATGTGTACCTGTGCGTTATTTTGTTTGCTATACTTCATTACTGTGCTTTACAGCATTTTTAACCATAGTACGTCTGCTAGCTGTTTGGGTTGATGAGTCTTCTGCAGTGCCTTTCAGAGAGAGGTCAGCTCATCAGTAATGTGTTCCTGAGAGCAAGGCTGGCCTCCCAAACAGCACAGCTGCTGTAGGAACGACAAGAGAAGCAGGGCAGTCCCCCTGGAGTGTTAGGCTGGAGAACAGGGAGACATGACAGCAAGACACTTTTGCACTTAGGGCTGAACCACTGTCGCAGACTCCATTCCCACCACTTGAAAAATGGTCTTAATAAGCAAATGGTGGGACACGCTTGTTATACATATAAAGCAATCTGATCTCATCTGTCTCCCATTGCTTCGCCATGGCAATCAAACCTATTCCATTAATGTTGCATGCAGCGCAGGCAATCTTTGAATTTTCTGTAATCATTTCCTCAGTCCCCACAGAAAAGTGTTATGGTATATGTGGTATCGGCCAGCTTACACTGAATTACTAAGAGCAGCAAATCCACTTCAGTGTCCAAGAATCTTCATAACTGTGAAATTTGTGTATTCTTTCATCTCACAAACAGCAGCCATTCATTGTCTCATCGTTCGTCGCTGTTATTTACTCTGAAGCAGGGACCGACGACCTCATTTCTTTATGGGACTCAAGATTTCCTCTTTTTGAGCCCATCTGATATGAATTCATTATTATTAATTGTTAGCAAAAATATTCAAAATATATAAATAACAGGCAGGAACCGGGACACTGGCAGGGTCCAGCCCTGTCCTAGAGGAACTTTGTCCTGGTTTTGCGTATCCGTGTCTTGGAACAGAATGATTATCTGGGCTCCTGAGTGGCATGCCCAGTGCAAGGCCATCGCTTGGAGCACATGATGGGTTGAACTTGAACTTGAACTTTATTGCCATATGTAACCAGTACTGGTACAATGGAATTCTTACTTACAGAAAGTCTCTCGATTGTAAAACAAGTGTAAAAAACAAAACAAAGTGCAAACAGTGCATCAAGACAATATACAAACAAACAGTAGACAAGGTGCAAGTAAACATGTAGACAGTTTGAATGTAAACAATACAGATGTGTCAACAATGACTGGAGATGTGCAATAGATAAGAAATCATAAAGAGGTAGATGGTGATGGTGTAGGTGTGGTCCGAGGGGGATGGCTAAATGCGTTCGCCAGTCTCACTGCTTGTGGGTAGAAGCTATTGAAGAATCTAGTGGTAAGTGTCCGCATGCTCTTATATCTCTTGGCAGTGGGGTGAAGAGCTCATGCCCGGGGTGGTGACTGTCCTCTGTGATGGCCAGAATTCTACCACGGCAGCGGTCCTCACAGAGCTGTTTAATCTCGGTGAGACCGCAGCCAATGATCTTCTGGGCCATATTGACCCTTCTCTGCAGTGCCTTTCTTTCTCGCGTTTGAGCCCAGGGTTTGAGCCTGGGTGAGCTGTAAAGGCACGCAGTACCAGAGAGTGCCACCAGGGCAGGGCTGGCAGTCGCCAAGGTGTTCTCAGGATCTCGGGTGACAGCTAGGCTTGGGGCTTGCCACGGGGCTGTCGGAGACATGCTGCTTCTCCAGTCCGTGCCAACCTGGCGCTGTGGACCTTGCAGTGTGTCCAACAACGAACCGTCCTCGAAGTGGGCTTGTCAGGGGCGCTTGTCCGTGTGTCTCACTCTCTGCCAAGGGCACGTGACAGTCGGCGATTCCAAACCGGGTGGGTGTATCATCATCAACAACAACAACGCCTTTCCCACGTTTCTCGCTTGCTTTTTGTCTCCTCCGCGCAGGGAGCCTCACCATCTCCCCGTCCCTTACCACTACTACGAGCCCGCGGGCCCCGACGAGTGCACCATGTACATTTCCCACGAGCGCGGGCGCAGGGGCAGCCACCATCGCTTCATCACGGAGAAGCGCGTCTTCGCCAAGTGGGCCCGGACTTTCGACATCCGCTTCTACCAGCCCGACTGGAGCCCCGCGCCGGCGCCCGGCAACAGAACAGCAGGGGCTCTGCCCTCCTGAGGCCGGCCTCCTGCCGCCGCCACGGGGGGACAGGGGCAACAGAGGCGGATGTTTTAGGGGTTATCGGGGTGACTCATTGCCGGCTTTGGTTTGCGAACGACTGGGAGACGACGGACGACGGGGGGACGACTCTCTGGCGTTGCCGGCCTGCAGAGCAGATCCTCCCATCACCGTGACAACCGTAGCGGAAGCTGGCGGGATTTCCGTGCCAGAGAACTACAGCGCCTCTCCGTTGGTAACAGGAACCAGCTAGTTAATGATCCTCGGTCGTACGCCTTTGGACCACGTAACTTTTTCATTCCACTTCAAGAGGTAAAATAGAAGTAATTAGTTTGCAGATGATTTATGATAGTCACTTTATTACCCTTTTATGCTGTCGGAGGCAATAGAGTGGTTTTGATGTATTACAGCTGTGGGCTCCTTGTGTTGCGTGTTTATGTTACTGTTTTTGCTAAACGGTCGATGATGCGGTGGCGCTCCAGAACAAAGCACTGCAGAGAGAGGCGTGTCCTCGCCTGTAACGGCAGAGGCCTGTACCTGTGGCTCGGTTAAACCGTCATCCACTGCGTTCCGCCTCAGTATGGGAAAGTGTCAGACTTTGTGGGATTTAGAAAAAGAAACTTGCTCAAGTCACGACTCAAACTTTTTGTTCGGATTTTACCGGATTTTTGCTTTTTCAATCCCACGTGAACAGCAGCACCTTTTAAAGATGTCCCAGAACTACTCAACATACAAAAATTAAAATCAATACTTCAGTCGGTTGGGGAATTTGGAAGCGACAGCTTGAAAGGACAAGTTGAGAACTGCAGTGAACACTGAAATCTTACTCGATCTGAGCATGGAAAAAGAATATGTGTTCTCTTCTAGTTGAGCTATACAGTAATGCTGTATCAATTCTTCCATAATCTATTTTGTTTCAATATTTGATCATCGGATTTCCACTATCCAAAAGCATTTGATGTTCTTTGATTTGACCAGCCAGTCCGCTCATTCTCCAGCTAATTTTCACATTCTGCTCTATTTGAAAGTACTGTACACAGGCTTTTAAAATACAGCTCAGATGGAAATATTAAAGTGGTCTTTATTTGATATCTGACTTATTGTAAATGTTGGAGTGTTTATTATGACTTTCAAGGGGTACAGACATGTTACCTGGGGACTGGAAATATAAATGACTTAGCAAGAGTAAAGGTACAACGTGCACAGCTACAACAGCACCTGTATTTCTCCACACTCCCACAATGTTACAAAAACAACATTCCGAGACGGTGTCAGTGTCTGACTTTCATGCCTTGACATCCCTATTCCTGCTGCTGTAACAGCTGGAATCCTGAAAGTCTGGCGCCTGGTCTATGGAACTGGGATTGGATTTTTCTCTAAGGAAAATCAGGTAACTGTTAGAATTGACACTTGGACTAGTAGGTGTCTTTCTTCCCTCCAGAACACGGGTTTAAAACCAATGCCTCAGTACAGGTGCAGGACACTTGTGGGAGAAGCTGTCCTTCAGAAGAAATGTTAGACTAAGGCCACGACTCACTGTTGCCATCAGAACTCAAAGCCGACTGGTCTTTAGCCCGTGGGTGCCTACATCAGCACTCTGGCTTGATTCCAGATCAGGCTAGCTCGGTCTAGCCCAGCTTCATGGCTCCTTCACTTTAATTGATGAAGTAATTTCTCACTTCTGCGCCTTACCTACTGTGCAATGAGCCATTGGTACAGAATGGCTGTTTCTCACCCAGGTGGGGAGTTAAGTGAGTCTCTTCCATTATGTAAAGTGTAATGGAATCCTTCAGGACAAAAAGAGCTTTCTCAATCAAGCAATAATAACCGTTATTGTGTTTCCTGTACGAACTCCCAGTAGTGGAGACCGAGAGATAACTGGTTATCTTAATGCCTAAGGTGTTCTCAAATTCAGAACTAATTAAGATTATCCACTTAAACCCTCCTTGCCATGGAAAAAAAAAAACAACAATTTCAGTACTTCTCCCCAACGTACTGAAAATCAAAGTGGTGTGATCTGAGCCGTATGCTCCCTGTATTGAATATATTGTAACAAAGACAATTCCTCTATGAACAGAGTCCTCACCTACCTATCCTGCAGTCCACTGTGGGGGAAGAGTGTTGATTATTTTGATTTGGGGGCAGCTGTTCTGGGCTGCTTCTTTTTATCAAGTACGTCCAGAGTTCTGCTTGGAATTCCTAGCACTTCACACTTGGGGTGCCAGGGGAGGCAGAGATGTAATTAAACAGCTTCTCTATTCTTATTATGGGAAAATTCAAACAGAATAAAAAAATATGCTGTTGCTTTTTTGGGATGCCAGCAGGAGTCTATTACGGGCAAAAACTATGGGGAGCGTGTACAGTATATAAGAGGCGAGTTGGGCAAATATGCCAATACCAGCCCAATAGTTAATTTGAGGCCTGAAAAATAGCCACATATTTTGATCTAAATGTTAAGGACAAAGTGGTGTTGCAGTGGGAGCTGATGCCTCATACAGTTTGATTGGTAAGTACACGTTGAGTGTATTTAACCCATGCAAACAGCCAGATTTCTCAAGGTGCTCCACCGGTTTATGTGCATTTCTAAATTGTCCCGATGAGTGTGCAGCACTCTGTGGCTAGAGTCTTGTTGTGTAAAATTGGTCTGGGTTCACACTTGAGCCAGTTGTTCAGGCAGATGGAGCATGATATACTGAAAAGTATCAGTTTCTACAACCACTGTACCAATATGCGGTACTTAAAGGAACTACTTCTTAACTGCAAGTTACAAGCATAGGCCTCCTGGTATAGCCAGTATGACCAGACTTGAACATACATGAAGTACAGAGCTGAGTGAGAGGAAGTATACTATAAAAAAGTATACACTACATAAAAGGAACAGGTATTTTGTTATTCACAGTAACTGTGTATCTTCAGAACTTTGAGGACCAAAGAGAATTAATGGGGGAACAAGAAATGTCATGTGAAACCTGCAAATCAATTGCATCTACTTTCATGAAAAAAATGACCTTTCTAGCCATTTACTGCCCATAGTCCCTCAGTACTAAAGATGAGACTGCACCCTGTGTTCATCCATTATCGTTACGGAGATCAAAAATGCAACAGGAGAAGGAATCTAACCGTTTCTTTTTTCAAGTCTGTGAACAACTGTACAGAACCAGGTGACAAACTACTTGGGTTACATCAACCTATCTCTAATCTTTCCGACTTAAAATGCTGAGCTTTTTAAGGAATTGGTTTTAGGAACTGTTTAGGAAACAAAACAGGAAAGAAGTACGAAAGCAAGTACGTTTTCTGTTTCTGCTTTGATACCTGACAGCTGCCATCTTTTACTCCATCCCTTTTGGTTAGTTGTAGGCCAGCTGACTTTGCCTCATTGAAATGAAATGGGCATACTGTACCTGCAGCACTGTCGTGTTCATGGATGGTGTTGGATCAAAGACAATAACCCACTTTAAAGAGGAAAGCATTCCAGTGTTTTTGTGATCAGTATTGAAATAAAAGAGAAAAATTAGCTGGGCTGTCAACAGCTGTACAATTGGCATACTAGTTTGTACTTTGCAAGATAATGCTTGCTTGTATTCCCAAAGTCATTTGATGGCTTAGAACAAAACATCTGCCACTTTTTCAGGCTGCAAGTTCCACAGGGCATGCAGGAGAGTTAGCGACAAATGTAAGATTGATACTGCTCTCACGGGCAAGCCTGAAAGCTCAAAGGCACTCACAAAGTTACAGGGTTTACTGGCAAATGTTAAACTCCCGATACATCACTTCACGTCCGCCCCACCCAGCCCTGTGTACAACTGGCTGAGGTAGCTGCTCGCAGAATTCTGGTCACCTTCGGTTTCAGACACAACCCCAGATACCAGCCTGCGGTGTCTGAACCAAAGCCTCCAACTAACACTCTGAAGAAATATCCTTACCAGTGGAGCCGGGGATGTTTCGGGCTCTGGCTTCAGTGTGAGATAGGGCAGTGCAAGCCAAGCTACCACTCCTTACACCAGCAACATGGAAATCGTGCATCGCGGCTCATGAACAGCCAGTAACCATTAGCTGATCCTAAATGTGGCTCAATACTTCATCTCCTCATTAAAGCCATTTCACTTAGCGCAAAAATTGCAAACCAAATATTTACAAACAAGCTTATCAGACGGCTGCACCTTTAAATAACAACCATGACTCGTGAGCTATGGTTCGTCATTAAAAAATGTAACCATCATCTAATCTTTGCACGTGAACCATGACTTGGGAGCTGATGGTTATGGAAGTGTGGAACAAGCTACTCAGCCATGTTGAAGGCAAAATCATGGAATATGCCTATGGACTTTCAGGAAATGGCTGGATAAGCTCCTTGGAACAATTAACAGCTACTGTACCTGCCAAATGGGCTGGATGGGCCGCTGCATCTTCTCATTTATAACCTTCCTCGTGTTCTGAAGAGCTGCCTGACGGATCTCGACATACTCCGTTCTGAAAGGATGCCGTTCAAGACCTAGAAAGTCTTGTGCTTTTGTATGAAAGGAGACCAGGAAGCATCCAGGTTTATCACAGGACAGTAACGATGATGCGTTCCTCACAGTTGTGAAAGTACTTCTGGAAAGTGCGCTGCAGAGAACTTCTTGCAGCTTTGAAAACAATCGTGGAGAACAAATTTCCTCACTTGCCAATGACTTAAACCAACATGGTAACGAACAATGCCTCATGCTTGAAACGACGTATGGAGCCACCAGGTACACTTGCCCTTGTGTCAATGGGTCTTTTGTTAAGCCTTAAAAAATAAACACTGGTGTGTTCGTACTGTATATTCACCCATCCTGCAACACAACAGCTCTAGCTCCACAAGCATTGCTTTGTCTCTTTAAGGCCGAGCCAGTGCAGTTCTCATTACGCATTACCGAAGCCCACACAGACAGCACAAGTTCAATATCTTTTGTCATTAAAAAAGGAATCTCCTTCCCATGCCTCTGCCTTGGGGGCATTTTCTCTGCTTCTTGCAGCTCTGCGGTTAACAGGGCTTGCAATCTGAAATAATGGCACAAGACAAGCCTGGGGAGAACTTCTCATGTGTGATGCTAAAAATAGCCCCAGAGATTAGATTTTATTGAATTCCTCCATTAGCCTTTGTCTGTGCAGGGCCCCCTCTGGACGAGAGATCTTTAACAAAAGTTTGCACTCTTTGTTCTAGTGAGTACACTTAATGTTCAAGCCCAGACTAAAATCAGTGGCAACTTTAATCAGAGAAGGACTCCCAGCCATCCTGGTCTCTGGAAATCTATAACCACGCAAGGTTTAAAACTAGAAGGCTGTGTGCGTCACCTAGGCCAATATTAAATCCCATTAGGAAGTCCTCTTCACAGAAACACGTGTCTTTTATATTTTGAATTTAAAGCTCTTTGTATTTTAAGTTGAAAAATAAACACACCACCACTATATTCTAGGGAACCCATCATCAGATTTATTCCACTTGTTACCTGAGCCATATCCAAGCCTTTGTATGTCACTGACTCATATACCATATCAAACACAGGCAGCATCAGTGTCTTACAGCAAGCTTTCAATAGCTACTTGCCCACTGTGATACATAGTACAAATCATACTACACAGTCGTGCAAATCGGTGTAACATATAACGTTTTTTTCCCCAAATGGAGTAAGTGGCAGATTAATCAAGCAAATGCCAGAGATGGATTCGTTTTTCCCAAACTTAAAAGGTTATCCCAGGCAAGAAGGAAAAGCATATAAGTAGGATGAAAGTTAAACTGTAGTTAAAGATGTAAAGTAAAGGACCCCAAATGGCCCACAGACTTTCAGAAGCAAAAGGAGTAGCGTTCAACCCCCCTGCTTTTTAAATTTAATTCATTCCTTCATGAACACAACATATTTCACTGGGACACACAGCTGGATTTTCCACCCAAGAATTTAAGTAGAATGCAAACCAGTAAAACCGGACAGCGTGTACAGATTTATTAGTGATGTATAAAGAAAATCATTTTAGGAGGCTGACAAGACATCAGCTCCTGTTAGTTGGAAGATGTTTTTTTTATTCAACAGCTCACAGTCCGCGACTGAGACAGTCTAAGTAGCCTAAGAAATGGCGAGGAAAACCCATCTCGTGTTCTCATCCGATCCATTATTCATCTTTCACTAACTACACGATGTAGCTGTGTGAAAATGTCATCCTCATCAAAAACCCTGCCAACGAGGGACTAGGCAAAGAAGCCAACTGACAGGCAACCAAATCTTCGAGGATTTGCAAATACAGTATTAAATGTGTTCAAATCATTAGAATGCATCCATCTACCAATAGATAAATAGATGTCTAATTATGCCATATGTTCCTCATCTCCAGAGGAAGGCAATATAATTTATTTGCCTTAATCTGTACAACAGAAGCCAAACACAGCTTTACCACAGAAAAAGATGTACACTGAAGGGGAATCGCCTTCATTTAAAATAGATGTGAGAATAAAAAGCAAAAGATACCGTATTTCTTTGAATGGCAGGAAAACTCAAACAGTAACATTACCTCAAGTGCGTTGTGCCGTCTTGACAGAACAGAAATGTGCTACTGCTTTTCACGTAAGTAAGCATGCAAGTATTGAAAAATGTGAAAGACAGGCCTTTACTGTAATCAAGCCTATATCTATATAACCTTGTACTACATTTAGTAGATATTAGCATGGCTTAGCCAAGTGTTTTTGGTACAAAACATCTGAATTCCTCAAGACTATGTGAAGCATTTATAACCCATGCAGTGTCTAGTGCCTTGTACAAAATATACAGTTTTTTTACTAACATGTTTACAGCACATTAGTTAAAATAATGAGACTTTTCTGTTTCTTCATGTAGTTAAAGATTTGGAGTTGCATCAGAAAAAATTCAGGGATCTTAAAATGTCTGGATGCATTGGCACCAATATGCAACGCTGTGTAACATTGCTAAAAACACAATGGTCTTTTGTTTGCAAAGTACTATAATAAGCAGCAAATAACTTAGGCTGTAGGCATGACAACAAAAAGCACTTTAGGCAATGTTTTAATATACTCCCCCATCCATATATTTTCTAACAGCTTTATCCAATTCAGGGTCATGGGAGAACCGGAGCCTATCCTAGCAAACAAGAGGTGCAAGGCAGGATACATCCTGGACAGGATGCCAGTCCATCACAGGGCACACAGACACAAACACGCACACACTCACAGCAGGGCCAGCTTTCCCAGAGGCAGATTAACCTACCAATCCTATGGGAGGAAACTGGAGCACCCGGAGGAATCCCACACAAACACAGGGAGAAAATACAAGCTCCATGCAGACAGCACCCCAGGAATCGAACCCAGGGCCTCAGGGCTGCAATGCTGACCACTGCGCCATGGTGTTGCCCACTGTCATGCAGTTGTCAAAGTGAGTTACCCAAGTTCATACAACCTTCTGTTTCATTCTTACCAGTAGTAGCTCATGTGTTACAACTGGAGCTGTTTTAGCTAAACAATTTGATCCCTTTGGCAAATTCCACTGATCCTGATTTTCAGGGATCCGTCTCAGGAAGGAGGAAAAAGTTTAATTTTTCACCCGCAGTGACATCGACGAAGTCTACTTCCAAAATCACAAATCAGTGCCAGAGAGTTTGACGCTCAAGAGCAGTCTTAAAATATGTGCTTCAGGTGTTTGATCCCATAGGTTTTGAAGAAAACAAGGAGAATTAATGTCCACAGGCCCAGGATGAATCCATCAGGAGGGTGCCATTCCTTCTGTCGGGGTTTCTGCAAAAAATAAACAAAGCTGATAAGTGATGCATTTGTCCTCAAAGGAAGCCTCTGAAATTAAAAAAGGCACCTCAGCACACACATCAGGATACGTCTAATGTGCAGTGATTTGTCTGCCAAATTGGTTTCCAGTTAAAAAAAAGAGGCTCATGAGAGGCCTCATGAGTGCAGGCCGAGCTCTGCGATGCAGATGACCTGGGTTCGAGCCCAAGATTCTCCAAGTTTCAGCGCACAGGAGTAGGGCTCGGATTAGGTCCCTCTGGGCCCACTCTCCGACCCGGGTCAGTGACCCCCTGCAATTTGCATTGATGGCAACGATGAACGTATAGTAACCAGCCCTCCAGGCGGTGCCACCTGTCCCATCAGGCACTGTGCAGGCTGCAATGTCTCCAATGAAGGACACCCCTGCAGGTGGGCACGTCAGAGGAGAGTGTGTTAAAAAAAAATTGCTGTTCTAACTCTCTAAAAAAGTGACAGCAATAAAAGTTTAAAGTTTAAAACCAGCACCTCTGAAGAAGTACACCTCCAGAGCCAAATGAAACCTTAGCACATATATGGGATTCTCGTTTACCATCCCTATATTAACTCATCTAACATCCATCTGTAACAGTGGGTGTCCTATCCATTACAAATGCTATAGCCCCTAGGTTCCAATCTTTACAACACAGAAATAGTGCAGCAGTGTCCAAATAACAATGGTACGATGTTTGCCACAGTCAGGATTTTACCAGACATTATACCCCATCAGTCTCTGATACAAAGCGTCAAAGTTCAAGCCTCTGTGATCTGAAATTTTCTATTGTATAATCACTGACTGTGTGGATTTGATATTTTCAAATGTAATTCGTGTTATAAAACGTGTCTACAGAAAAAGGCATTTCTATGGTAATGAATAGCATTTTTTTTCTCTTGGAAACGAAAGCATTGACCTTTTAAAATCTCTCCAATTTCACCCAGTGGGTTGCATCCCAAGTGCGGTATGAATTTCTGAAATGCTAACTCAGCAGCTGCACATTCCCAGATGGAAATGTGCAGCTGTGGATCAAACCCCTCATTTTTAGAGAAAGGAAGAGAGCAAAGCATATAGCTCGTGCCCTCTTTAAATGTGTGGAGACGATATTTTCACTTCTACCAAAACAAATATTGGACCAGCGCTCTGATCAGTTGGAGCAGTGCACATTCTAAGGTCAGGTTTGACTTTTTAAGGGGAGGTTCTGAATTTTGAATCTGACAACTGCTGGTAGCATGATGAAAACAATAAGGCACAAAAAAAAAATTAAGTAGAAAGATGAATTGAGTGGGCAGTGTGGTGGTTAGCATTCCTGCCTTGCAGCACTAGGGTCCTGGGTTCAATTCCTAGGGTGCTGTCTGCGTGAGGTTTGCATGTTCTTCCCCTGAGCACGTGGGTTTCCTCCCACAGTCCAAAGACATACTGGTACAGCTACGTATTGGCTTCTGCAAAAATTGGCCCTGGTGTGAGAGTGTGCGTATCTGCGTCTGTGTGTGCCCTGCGATGGCCTGGCGTCCCAAGCAGGGTGTATCCTGTCTTGTGCCCATTGCATGATGGGATAGGCTCTGCCTCCCCCCGTGACCCTGTACTGGATATAGAGGTTAGAAAATGGATGGATGGATGAATTTAGTTCCAAGGCTACAATTCATATCTGTTGGTCCTTATTAGCTGTCTAAATGCAACAATAGAACCAGCGAAAGGGAACAAGACACTATAGGAATGTCTGCTAAGTAACAAAAACACTCTGCAAAACCAAGTCAGGAATCAATTTGATCTCAAAACTTTGAGAAAAATTACTTCTAATTACTATACTTCCAGTTGGTATTCTAAAAACAGGTGTGTCTGTAATCCACAGATATCCCAGATTAAAAAGCAAACAAGCTCCACAATGGGTGAGCCTGTGAGAGGACAGGTGTTGATACACTAAAAAACTGAAAAGTGCTTCCTGCTAATATGAGGTCTATTTCAAGTAATGAGAGAAAATAATATCCTGCATTACAAAGTTACTCATCTGGCCAAAACACAATTCTTAAAAGAACTTTCTAACTTTGCGATTTTACAAAGCACAGTGCTAACCGACAGTAATCGAACTTCTACAGAGAATTCGTATTAAAAAGTTCAATTAAAATACTTTTAACACAAAAAATAGAATGTCATTTTTAAAGCCAATGTAGTAACAATGAGTGGAAACACTGTGATTATAAGTAATGTGAGCGTAACACGCATAAAGGAGATCATGTTTTTCCCTGATCTCAGGGTTTTCAAATTGCCATGATCTAATTTTAACCTCTTAAGGTGAATGAAAACATGACCCTAAAAACTGTGTAACCACCTGCAGTTATAAAAATCGATCAGGCTGGCCACTGAAAGGTTATAACAAAAGAACTGCCAAGAGAGAGCCTGCAGGAGCACGGCAGCTATGCACTTGCGGCTATGACCTTTCAGTACACTAGATTGCTTTTTCTCTTGCTCCTGGAGAAAGCATGAAAGGTTCAAAAGCAGAAAAGTATTAGCAACACAGGACACTGCTCATCAACTATGCAAATTTCAAAATTGCTATTTTTTTCTTGTAAACAGAAAAGACAAACGTCTTTGTTAATTACTCAATTACAAAAAAAACAGTCATTTAATCCGTTTCCTGTTGAAAAATGTCCACCCCTTATTTTATTTCCAACACGTGTGCCTCTGCCTTTAGCAACCTTGCTCTTTCTTATCTATACAAAATGATACTGCCGATTCCGTTCCCAGAAATGAGTTTGAAAATTACGGGTAATAACTCAATCTGCTCAAGGTGCCATCCTGACACAAAAGGAAAGCTGGCGAAGAAATAAATCATAAAAGAAACAGTCAAATGAATTGTGGTCTGTCAATGTTGCCGGCTAGGATAAAGGCAGTGCTGTAAATACACTTCTGTTGCCAGCTCTGGTGAGGCTCTTCTCTCATGGATTACCAAAGGCCATTTAAAATTCATAGAAAATACTCTTTCATGCTGTTCAATGCACTTCAATCGCATTCAAAGGAAATGAGAAATGTTTAATCAAAATTCAGCTCAGGTGTATTATTTAAGGAATGATGGGGGCTCACAGGTTGAGGGTGATCCGCCAATACAGTTATCTTTCCTCATGCATCAGCCCTGCTGTGGCAGATAGGCTCATGGAATATATTTTTCTTTCTTCTCCTTTCCACTTCAAAGTCCTGGTGAAGTGACACTTAATAAAACCTTAAAAGACTCCTTTGTCTCATTGCAATCTGCCATTGTTTATCTGGGAACACCACACACAGGAACTAAAATCTTTTTTTTTTTTACTAATGCGAAGGAAGACCATGATCTGTCAGCGGCTGATGAGATCTTTGAGTCGTCCGTCACCCTATGTATATTTAAGTTTAACCATAAAAAAACCTCTTTTTTTAGTGCAAATATCTTTTTGGAAAAACAGGCTGAGGTCGTCTGATGGATAGAGAAAGGCAGAGACAGACACAAGACAGTTAAAGGACATGAAAGTAACAGCACAATGCTCAAGAAGCTTATTACCAATAAACTACACCCTCCTGTTTTGCTGATGAATGCCCTTTCTGGGGAGAGCTTGAGCATAAAGGTTGCAAATAAAAGGATGCCTTTTGCCCCCCAGCTAGCATGTGTGGCTGCTAGTGGCTTAATGTCCTAGTAATTGCGAGTTCCTTTTTTTAAAGGATCACGGGGAGGCAGCTTGCAGAACATGACTTCTGAGCTCCCACAATCCTCCCTATAAAGACGCGTGTCCTGTGTGCCGTCTTGAAAGAGCCTCAACATAATTTCCAGTTGAGGGTCTTGATCCTTCTGTTGCTGCCGATTGTGAGGGAGTCAGGATTTGAACAGGATTTTAACCCTGAATACCTGAACCAAGATCCCACATAATATAATCTCTGTTCCTGGCTAAAAAGCATCCGAGTGCCCCGAATCAGCAACATAGTATGATTAACCTGCACAGGTTCACATCAGTGCAATTTTACATTATATGGCACTATTTTTTACAAAGCAGTAGTTTCAGCAATTACTGTTAAAATATAAAAGACTTTAATCATACAATCCTTCCTGCGAATCTGGCATACATTACTCTGTTATACGATTCTCTGTCAATTCTAAATTACATCAGTGCTTTGTGACCCTAAATCTTAAGAACCTTACTACACCTGGTCTTACAGGCATCTTCAAGCGGAGGCTCAAGATCATGTTAGTCTTGACTAACCGAGCGAATAAAGATTTAAATGGCTTAATTGCAATAGTTAACTGGAAGGAGAACTAGAAATCCCCATCACTGTCCAGAATCAGGGGATGGGAGCCCTGGGATGCTATAGGAAAATATGGCCCAAATATCAAAAGCACAGCTATATTATATTGGCAAATGCTATAATTCTGGATAAGAGGATACAAATGGTTGGGGGATTCTAGAACAAGCTTCCCAGCCATGTGGGTGGATAGACCTAGCAAGGAGATGCTAGATAACATCCTTGGATCAATCCCATACCAAGAACCAAATGAGCCAGACTGGCCGAAGAACCTGCTCGTTTGTAACCTTTTATTCTCGTAACCTTCGGCTTTTGCTCTCCTGGATATCTTTGTCTCACGACGGACTATAATGGAGAAAAGCCGGTCTGCTCGTTTTGACTTAAGGAAGGAACGTGTGCTCAGGTGAGCCCCCTGCCAGAGAGGTCTTCAGAGTATTAGCCGCGCGGCCACCCACCCAGGCCAGAGGAGTAAAAACGCACGGTCAAGATAAAGAGGAATCAAGAACTTGTTGCTACTGCCCGACTGACAAGAGGAGAAAAACCAACAGAACACCACACCAAGCGCCGCTCATTTTGGAATGCATTCCCAGAACCCTCTTCTCTGACACTGCGATGTCACAAAGATAAATGAACAGAGAGCCCAGGTAAATGTAATATAAAAAAAATGATATCTTTATTTCAGCTTTATTTGATTAGTTTTTTCAAAGCTGTATTGATTAAA